TATCAGTGCATGCAACGCGGTTTATAAAACCGGTAATAAACGCTAAATTTGAAACCGCGGTTACGAGTGCACACACCGCGGTTTTTTGTGAACGCGGTGCAAGAAACCGCTGTGAACCGCGGTTTTCAGCGGTTATCGAATTGACACCGCGGTGGTGTGCGATGAAACCGCGGTTTTCGTATAAAAATTTGTCCGTGGGTAACTTCTGCGTTCTTGATTATTAAAATGAGAAATGCGTAGTTAACACTATAAAAAAAGTGTAGAATAATAAAGTCTATACAAGTGCTTAGTAACCTTATAAGTCCTACATGATATTTTCATAAATCCTTTTCGGATATATGCTATTTTCATAAACCCTTGTAGGATTATAAAGATAATAAATCCTTTATTAGTTCGTTCTCTTTCATAGTAACTTTTGCATGTAGAACTTTTACTTCTCAATATTTTTTTGTAGATTTATTATTCACTTTCCAGAAACATGATCGTATTATAATAAATGCTTTATGAAAATCTTTCATATAAAAAAACATGAAATACTAATCGTGACCGCATAATACGACATTGAGTGACTTTTGAATTTCTTTGTTTATATATCGTGTGGACCTGCTTTTTATTCTATTTAGCTTCTATTACTTTTTTACAACTCAAAATGTTTGTAGATAAATATGACAAATAAATTCACGTTGAACCTCTCATGCACACTTTTTTGCACACACGCAGATATCCGGCTTATGTACCCACGAGTAAAAAATAAGTAGGATGATGGCATTATGATTAGGATCTATATATAATATCATTTCGTTCATTGATAATGATACGATTAATATAGTTGAAGATGCCTGAAAATAAAAAGAAGAACTTTATACGATCAAGAATAGATGCAAGCTAAAAGTAAGCGTTTGAATCGTGTTGCATGCACTATTCATAATGACTGATGGCTATGATTATGACAGAACAAAGAAATATATTCTCATTTATGACATATAAAATGTATATCACACTACTGGTAGATTTAGAAGGTGTGGAGGAGAATAGTCGCCCTCACTGTGATATAAATTTTTTCTAAAGAAAAATCAAATGAAAATTGACTTCATATTATATTGGAAGAGCTTCAAAAACCGGTTTTTGAACACAATTGCTTCTTGTCTTACCAACATTCTAAATTCGCTACTGAATATTACAATTTATATTGGCAAAAGACTTTGAGTTTTTGAATAGTTATTTAAGAAATTGATTCCATGTATCAATGGATCTAGCAAAAACGTTTTTATCTTGTTCGATGTAGACATCTAGTTACTTCTTTATGCTAATTGTTTGGAAAAAAAACTGAATAAAATAAATCCTCTTTGTTGGCATTGTCATATCGATATAGAAGGTTTCTACATTAATAATTGAAATTGTCATTTGAAAGATTGTAAAAAAAAAAGGAATATTGCAATTCACTCTCAAATATTAGTGCATGTCGTGTTAAGAATATATTCTAAAAAAGTAATTACTTTACGCTACTTCTATAATTCAACATTAAAGATGTTTTGCCCTACACTATTATTTATCTGTTCACACTATTTACAATAGGAAAAGCACTATTATTGAGAATGTGGAACGTTGTTGTTGAAGAAATTCTTTGATGACAATTATTCATCAGAAAATACTTTCTTTCATTTAGCATGATTCAAAAATCAGTAAATTTAGTAGCACTACTATGAAACCATTCAATGTTTTATCAAACGTCAACGTAGCATACAATTTTGTAGGATAATTAATATTATTGTAATGTAAATATTAAAAAAGTTTTTAAAAATATTTATCTTTAATTTTGTCGTTCTAGTGCTATTTATATGAAGAGAAAAATAGTCGCTGTCAGTTGTTTTTATTACCAACATAAACAAAAGAACTACTTCGTCGTTTGATTTTCTTTTGTCAGTAATAACTATATCAAAATAAGAACGAAACGAATCGAGTATTCTAGATAATAATGATAAATATATATCAGAAATATTATGGTCGCTTTTCTTCTGTCATATTCTATAATTATTTTTCATGCTATTCAATCAACAATAAATTATTTTTTCAACATCAAATACTCCAAATACAAAAATGTTTGAAGCGTCGATAAATCTGAAATTCGTAATAACTGATCAATAATCATATAAAATTTCTTTCTCTTTATAAAGTTAGTATATGATGTCTAATTAGTTTTTGTATATAATGAGTGTTTTTTTATTCTAACTAAAAAGAAACTCTCTCTCTATATATATATATGTAATGCACGAATTCAGCTTGAATAGAACTGTTCGTTTGTAAAATAAAAAGTAAAGTTTATTTTTCCTGTTCGGAATCAGATGATGATGATGATGATTTCCAATCTTTTGAATCATCCACTATATTAAAAAAAACAAATAAAATTTAAGATAGAAAAAAATAAAAGAGTTTAAACATACTGGAAATAGCTTGATCATTAACACCTTTTTTTATGCCATAATGTTTAAGTGAATGTTTGCCTTTGAGTACTTTGCCACGAAAAATAAGACGACATCCTTGTTCAAATTTAGGTTTTAATCGTAATTTTAATTCTTTTTTTAAATCATGTACATGAGTTTTTTCATCCATTACGAAAGTTATTGATTGTCCATCAGATTTTCGAACAACGGTTACACTCACTTGATCAGTTGGAGTAACAATAATTGGCTCCGTTGATGCTGACATTTATTATATCTTTTTGACTATTTTAGTTCGTTGCCAACAGTTCCAAATGCAAGTTTATGAAAGAAATGGCAATGCCAATAAGAACATAAAGAAGAGACGGGGAAAATGTGCGAAGAAAGACAAAAAAAAAAAAGTATTTTCCTTTTTTTCTTGGCGATTCCTTGCAGCGATTTGAGGCAAAAGGAAAAAAAGAGCAGATCGATGCCCTCGCGTTGTGAATAGTGGGTCGCACTCTGAATGTTAACTGTAGCATCGAGAAGACATAGACCCCATAAGCGTAGAATAGAATGTCGTAACCAACGAGAACGAGAAGGACAAAAAAAACATGAGTATTGGCATTCTTGAAAATTTACGCCTTATTTTCATTTGCATTAATATATGTTTATGTAACAGCTTGTTAGTTTTATGCAATTAATCATTAGTGATTCTTGTAGTAAATTTATTTTTTTATTTGGATTCATCTCATATTGCGTAAACTGTCATACTACAAGTAGTCTATATATGTTAATGATATTTTTCTTCAAGCATAAACTATGAAATAGGCATAAGAATTCCAAAAGTCGCATGAGAACGGAAATAGAAATAAAAAAAATCATTTCCGCAGGATAATATTAGAAAGACAGGAAATTGTGATTCACTATTAGTAATATAATTCAATGTTTCATATTTCACTAGATTGTACGATCATATAACATGTTTTACTTTTTTTTTATTTAGATAAATAGACAAAAGATTTCGAAATGAAGACAACAACAAAGTTTTGTTTTTTCATATATTAGTTTGAATTAAGAATTTTGTTTTTTGTAATTTTATACAGAGAATTACGTGTACCCAAAAACATTTTCAAAAAGTAATTTCCACTATGCCATGCTTTATTATGCACGATCAATTGATTATATTTAAAATCATTAGTTACAAGAAACATAAGGGTGAGCTTTGTATGCACATCGTAGCCAATCTTGACTTGGCTGAGTTTTTTCAAAAGAGACTGAAGAATAATTCAGAAAATTAGAATTACTTGGCAAAACTAGAACAAATTAGAGCTATTTGGAAAAAAATCAGGCAATCAGAGAAATTAGAACCGTTTTGAAGATTGATTTGAACAAATAAATGAACTATCTATTTGCATCATAATCGTTCGTGTATTGTGTATAACAAAAGCCATTGCTGATTATGACAATCGGTAGTGAATGTTAATTAGTAGTTATTCGTTCATCGTTATACATTCATCATAATTTAATTGCATAAAAACATTGTGACTGTATATTTTAGTCTAATTAATGGATATGAAAAGAATCCCAAATCGTTTCTTTCATCATTACGAACGGAGAAAAACCTTATAATTTATTGAATAGAATAATATAATCGGAATGTCATTATCTGATATAATTTCAGTATTTTTTTTTTTCTTATTTTTCAATCTAAGTATCATTACTCTTTATATTCAAACAATACGTGTTGCATAATTGCAAACAAAAATCGATATTCTTTTTTCTTCTTTTTATTAGATTATTAAAAATATCACAAATATATTTTTGAAATAAAAATAAGCGAAAGTTCGGCTTATTAATAATAGCCAAATGTTGCATAAGTGCGAGTATAACCATACGGTGAGTATGGCATTTGATAACGTGAACCTTGATCAAACATATTATAAAGTGTTGGATAACCACCATTGGGCATACTATTAAGAAAACCATCAAACATGCCATCATCATAAGCTTCGTATAAACCAATGCCAAAATTAAGTAAAGTACTAAGACCCATAGAACGTTGAAAACGAACTATTCAAATCAAGTAAAAGCCTTTAATAAGAATCAATAAATAAATATAGAATCAATTCGCTTACTCGAAAAGTAGATTAAAAAGAAGGCTTGTTTGTATGAAAGTTGATTTCAATATGTATAAACGAGTATTGACTTTCCTTTATATACCTTTACCTAGTAAACAAGCAGGTATATACAAAGAACGTATATGCAAAATTAATTTAATGACGACTATTTTCATGAGTCAGATGTGTCAAATCAAAACTATTACGCTTGCTGACGTCTTCTATCATCAAGAAGATATGATAATAATAATGTCATATTGCGTAGTACTATATTACTTGATGCACAAATATATTCACTTAACTATAAATTGTCTCTTACATAAAAAAAAATGTTTTCATGATAAAATTCAATTCTTTAAATCTAGTTCGACGATTTGAAAAACCCCATTAAGAGTTTCTAAGATTGACTAATTAGCAATGCCTCATCGACTTTAATTCTCATATTACTGTTTTTGTTCTTCATTATGGCTGATTACAAAATTGGTTGTTTTAATTTATAAAAATTATTAAAAGAATCTCTATTATGGTATACATAAAATAGGAAGAGGAGAAAAAAAATTGGATAATTCTTGTTCAAAGGCCTTGAATTCGATTATTACGAAATGCTTCAAAAAATAGACGATGATCATGTCGTACTTGTTCACCATATATCTAAAATTCAAATTTTCGATTATTTCTTAGCAAAAAAAAAACAAGAAAATTAACATGCTTACCATGCCAAACTCTAGCATATCTTGAATAAATGCATCATCTTGTCCACGAATAGCATCACGAATTGTATGTTCAGTATCTCTTGGTATAATTGAAAACGGTAAACCTGTCACATCTTTTGGTGTATTTAAACAATCTGAGTCAGCTACACAATGAATTTTTGCTTAAAAGAAAATATCAATTTTATTTTTCTAAATATAAAACAAAATAAATAAATCTTACCCATAGCACGTCCAAGATATTGAACTACTTCAACAATATCTTTAAAATCATTAATATCAGACCAATCAAGATCTTCTGAATGTGCTGTAACTGCATCAACAAGACATGGAATTGTACCTAATGTTGTATAACCTAACCATTTAGGTGTTGATGCTTGCATTGCATATGAACATAAAACTGTTCGTAAACCATCATGTTTAAAATATTCCTCTACAGCTGGATTTCGTACAACATAAGACACAGCAGATTTTTGTGCTGGTTTCATATAAAGAATAATATCATTTTCAAGTGTTTCAGATCCTCCTTCAATTAAAAATGAATAAGAAATTTTTCCAGCTGAACCGATTCCAGGTGATGAACGTGCTACAATATCTTTGATTTTATATGTTACTTGATCATTAGTAGAATTTTTTCCTGGATTTCTTTTATTTTCTGGTATTGTTTCTAAATATTTTTTAAAAGCACGCATTAAATCATCGCGTAAATTAGCATCAACATCTTGAATATATTTTGAACGAATAAATCGTCGATCATAATTTTCAATACATGTCATTGAATCCAAATGTGCAACATGAGATTTGATACGAGTTTCATTTAATAATTTTTTTATTTTACCTGATGTATTTCTTAATGTTAATGCAAAACGATCTTTTGCTTTTTTGCAAAATTCATAAACTTGTTTTAAATATTCTTCAACACAAACAATAAGTATATGTTCAATTTCTTTATCTGAAAAACCTTTTGAATAACATATTAAATTAAGCGAAGCCACTAAACGTTTAACATCCCATGTAAATGGACCAACATAACCTTCATCAAAATCGTTAACATCAAAATTGAGAATACCATCATGATCTAAATAGGTACCGAAATTTTCTGCATGTAAGTCACCCTAGAAATAAATAAATAAAAATTATTTTTATCTTTATTATTTATTTACGTGAATAAAAACTTGACCGGCAGCATTGTTTCTGGCAATAAATTTATCTTGATCAACTTTTAAATCTTGATAAAATAAGACTGCTGATCCACGATAGAAATTAAATGGTGTAGCTGCCATTTTACGAAAACGACCACGAAATGCAGTTGGATTTTCGCGAATACCAGCTTGAAAAAAATGTGAAAATGTTTCAATAATAAATTGAGTTCGTTGTTCATTGGATTGTGAACGAATACGATAAATTGCTTTTTGAGGCGCATGAATATCATGAGATAATCGACTTGATTCAATACGAGTATTAACCTGCACTCGATACATGATTTTAAAAAATATGTTATCTTATGTTATGATCTTCAATCAGCTTATACGTCAGATAGTTGCTGTTGATCAGCTCAAATTCAAATCGATTGAAAAAAGGTTCGAATGAGTGTTTACCATTTGCTCTCTCTCTCTCTCTCTCTCTCTCTTCGGTATTTGTAGACGTATTTGATCAGTTACTATTAACCTTTATTTATTAAGAAACTTTTTTGTTCGTTGTCAAATAGAAAAACAGATTGGTACGACTAAGTAATGAAGTTTTTTTTTTCAAGAACGAAATGAAGCGACAAATAGGATGAAAGTAGAAAAAATTTATGTGTATGAAATTATCTTATTCTTTTGTATTGAAATGCACATGTTTTTGCGGTAACTAGGCCTAAAAACACGATGACGTTGAATAACAAAACTGTCAATGTTGAAAGAAGAGGAAAAAAAAGTTCTGCAAACAATCGCATTAACTCAAGGTCTTCATAAAAAAAATTTAAAACAACAGATCAATCATAAATAAAGAATATTTGTGTAAAAAAACAACTTTTTCATTATTCGATTAATTAAATTATTTAATGATATTTTTATTCGAAAGAAAATTTATTATATTCGTCAAAATGAAATAAATAATGCACAAAACTAACAAGTTAAATAAACATGTCGGATGAATCATGTTTGTGGAAAAAGAAGTCTATTGCTCGACTCAAAACTAAAGGTAAATTGTCATTTTTTGAATAACTTTCGATAGAAGCAAGATAGAGAACTGCGGTTTTCGTCGTGTGAAAGAGCAATGGCCAGGCCATCGAGCTGTACAAAAATTCATTAAATTGAAAGATGTTTTTTTCGGTGCTTTTGGATCGATATTTTTCTTCTTAACGCATTTTCATCAACTTTCACAATAATTTCAACTCAAATTATATCAAAATATTGCTCAAATTACTCTTTCTTCCCTGTAAAATTATCAAACTCTTTTTATAAATCCGTTTGAAATAATAGGCTGAGAGCTATTGGAATATGTGATCATTTTATAGTGAAAAAAGGATGATTTGAGCTATATTTTGATATAATTTAAGTTGAGATTATTGTGAAAATTGATGAAAATACGTAAAGAATTAAAATATCGATCCAAAAGCACCTAAAAAAAAACATCTTTCAATTTAATGAATTTTATATAGATCGGTGGTCGGGACATCGCTCTTTCGGACGATGAAAACCGCAGTTCTCTATCTTGTTTCTATCGAAAGTTATTCAAAAAATGACAACTCACCTTTTATTTTGAATCTAGCAATAGTTTAGAATATATTATCAAATACCGTTAGATGTTACATTGACATTGAAATAGAGTAGTTGATTGACATACCAATTTTAGTTGTGATTCATATTGAACAGCAGAATCAAGGTTTTTTGTTTTAATGTGTTATGAATTATTTAGCATACAACTTTGATTCTCTCTAATCATTAATAAATGATGCAAATAATTTAGAACAAACAAGCAATTTTGAAATCATTATAAAATTATTTGAACTATACTTTTTTACCTGCATTCTTAGCAAGTTCAGACATCGAAGAAAAATAACCGATAGTTTGTTTATCTTCTTTTATATAGTTTCTCAATATATATTGAAATCTCATCAAGACAACAAAAATAGCATTCTTTTACAAACAGAACATGAAATTTTTTATTTTGTTGTTATTATGACAAATCTGGTTAAAATAAATCTGTTTGAGTAGTTGGCGACCTTGGAGAAGTAATCATGTATTGCGCATTTTTTTGTAGTTTTTTCCATTTAAGTTGTTTAAGCAGTAATTGTTATTATTTATCACACCATCGGATTGTAAAAACATAAAATGTATTCTAAGATCGCATAGTACTCTTGATATTAAGATTATAAAATACTGAGTAAAGAAAAAACAAGCATGTGTAAAGATAAAAAAATCCAGTTTTTTCAATATGTTTATTGAGGTTATAATTATAACCTTCATCAGAAAAATTTAATTTATTAACTATTCCCATTTTTGGTTTTTTCTTTGCTATAATTATTACATTTTGTTATGACTGTATTGAAAGTGACATGTACTATTTGTTATGATTACAAAATGAATATTTTTCTTTACTTAAATGAATATTCATATACCGTAATAATATCTGTTATTTTTATAAAATATGTTATACATGAAAAAGAAATATCCTCCAAACAGAAAACTAATTATTATTACACGACTAATAACACTCATATACAAAATACAATAAACAAATATTTTAAAAAAATGTTCTATCTATTCGATTAAAAAAACTTTATATAAATTGTGACCTTGTTTCAATAAATATCCATTATCATTGAGTTTTATTAATAGTTCATCTAATCTATCCATATTAATTTTAATATCCTATATATTTAAAGAAAAATATTATGTAATCATTCATTTATAGAAAAAGAAACAAAAGAATATTTACTGTTGCTATTTGTTTAAGTTCAGCTGTCGAAAATAGAGGACTTTTCTTTTTTTCACTAACACATCGAATAGCATTCATCATTTTCTTAACCTAAGTTCAAAATTTTTATTTCTGTTAACAAAAAAAAACAAATTAAATCAATACAAACTTCAGCTGCTCGACTCATTCCTGAGCCATGTTGTAATCGTGAAAAATCGAGTTCACCATTTTCATCAGTATATGTATCGATCATACTAGCTTTCATTATTTGTATAACATCTTCAGCATCTGATTCAGTACACTCTTCACGTAGTTCAAGTTTGGCACGAGCCTAAAAATAAAATAATCAATTGATATAATTTTTAAACGCACGAAAAAAATATCCCAAATGGCATCCGCTATTCGGGTTCATGTTAGACTCACAGGCAGATCTCAGTGAGAATAACAAAAGTCCAACAGCATTTGCCCTATTAACGCCGAGTTATGATCAATTTACTAAATTTTTGATCTATTTTTAGGTACTCTTCGAAAGACTAAATATTGAAGTTGCGATTTAAAATTGTATCTATTGACAGATCTAAAGACTCTTAGAATATCTTAAACTTTTCAGTCGAAAAAAAAAACTTCTTTTATCAAGATATTGAATTTTCAAGGAAACTCGATTTTTGAGATAAATGACCATTTTTTGGCAATTCAATACCTCAACACAGAAATATTCTTTTTGAATGTTATTTTCAGAATATACCTAAAGTCATCAGGACTATTTATGGACAAAATTTCAGGTCGAAATTTCGTTATTTGATACTTTGGTAAATATCTAAAGTTAGTTTGGAAATTCAATAAAATAGTCGTAACTCGGTTCTAGAGACTCATACATATGAACCCTTTTAACCCAATATGAGCTCAAATGGCGAGTATCAATTCGGGTAATTCTCTCATCAGTAAAATCCTTAGTTTTCATTACTTCAGTTAGACGCATTAAGGATTCAAGTTGACGTAAAGTAATAGGAGTTGTTCCATCACGTTGATGAGCAATACGTAATTGAAAGTAAAATTTTTTAAGAATATCAATTGCTTCACGTGTAAGACGAGGTTTGACATATCGACGTGCATAAGCAATATACTATTAAGAATGAATGATATTTTACATAAATTGGTAAAACTTGTTACTTTTTGTAAAAGATTTGGTCCAACTGGTTCAATGGATTCACCAAGTTTAAGACGTAATTGTTCAAGTAATGGAATATCTTCATAAAGTGTTGCTAATAGTTGTTGTTGTCGATGATTGACAGGTACTGCTTCATTTTCTGATCGATTTAAACTTACTGTTGTATTATTATGTGATGAACGAATTGAACGATTATGTTGAGCAAGAACATGTTCAGATAAACGGTAATCAAGTTCATCATCAGCTCGATCAATAAGAATAAAAACAAGATCAAATCGACTTAAAATTGGTCCTTTTAATCTTAAATCAGTAAATAATTCGTTTTTAGAATTATGAATATAAAAATCAATACTTTAAATTTTCAGCTACTGTTTTTCCTTTATTATAATGTCCACCAACTGGATTTGCAGCAGCAATAACACATGTTCGAGCTGGTATACTCGCCATAATACCACCTTTAGCTATAGATACACATTGTTGTTCCATAGCTTCAAGTAATACTTGTTGTTGTGATATCATTTTATCAAATTCATCAATACAACAACAACCTTGATGAGCCATAACAAGTGCACCAGCGTCTAACATTAAATCTCCATCTTTGTCTTTATGTAATGTAACTGTAAGACCAGATTGAGTTGAACTTGTACCACAAACATAAACACCTTTTTATTATTCGGTTTGAATACAAAATCAAAATAATATTAATCATTTTTTGTTTTAATTTACCTCGTGGTGCAACACTAACACAAGCATGAAGCAATTGACTTTTACCAAGACCTGGATCACCAACAATTAATATATGTGGATCAGAACGAATTGGAATATGAGACTAACAAGAGTAAAAGGGAAAAAAAAGTTTTTCTATGCTTTATTTTCAACTTACGGCACTATCTTCATTTCGCACTAATCCACCAAATAAAGCCATTAATAATGCTGCTTTAACAAGTTCATGTCCATATATACTTGGACAAAGTGAATGAACAAGAAGTCTATTATAATAATAAAAAAAGCAAACTTCGAAACTCTTCTTACTAATCCTCATAAAAAAAAACCTTATTTCTATGAATACATAGCATATTCTATGGCGCTTAGTAATATACATTCTTATTAAAACAGAGTGTTCAGCAGGATGACATAGTACTCGGCAAGACGACATAATGTATCGAAGGACGAAGTAATCCTAAGCAATATGAATTTAGATCTTCGCTTTTTACATCGGCATTTATTGCACATAAGTGATAATTATCTCAAAAGCTCACATAACTGATAATAAGATTAAAGCAGACTGCTCAGCAGTATGTCGTCCTGCTGAGTACTATGTTTAATTGAAAATGCATGCCAGTAAGTACTACAGAGTATACCAACTTTTTATAGAATTTAGGATTTTTACAGAAGTTAATGAGAAGAATTTGAGACCGAGCCGAAATTCATCTAGCCCAAGATCGTTTATTCAAAAAAAAAATGTTTCATTTACTTTAAAACATTTTTTTGTTGTTGAATTTGTTGAATACCATATAAATCAAATAAAGAAAAATCCATTGTATTCATTAAACTATTACCACCTAATGCTCCATCAGAAGTATTTAATCGTTGATTAACAACTGAATTAACATCAATATAAACTTGAAGTAATGATTGATCAGATATTTTACGGATACCACCTCAAAAAAAAAATATATATTTGAATTTATTAAATAGATAAATAAAATTGTTTCTGTTTTTCATACTATTTTCATCTACCATTAATTTTACAACACCGGAAACAACTACAACATCACCTGGAATAGCACTATTAACAAGGTCATTTGTTAATTCACATTCAATCGTTTGTGGAATACGACCAGGTGCTCGTGATGCTTCTGAAGCAACTTCTTGCAATCTAAAAAAACAATAAAAAAAAAACATTTTCATCAATATATGCATAACAAATATTCAAAAACCGAATTGTTTGCCAATCAATAATTGTTGTTAATGGATGAGAACGTTGTTGAACAAATGATCGACCAATGCAACCCGGTGTTGGACAACGTTCTGGTTCTGTATGTTTACCATTTTCACACGTGACACCAAATGTATGTCGACATGTTGAACATTCGTATGCCAGACGAATAACCAAACATTGTGAATTACTTACACGTACAACAACTCCTCGAATTGATACGAATTTACCTAAAAATTGTACAAATAATTTATTTGAAATCCTAAAAAATCAAACAAAACCATAAGCTTGAGCTTTGACATCTTTTAATCGAATCATTGGCGTAAAATTAACTAAACGTGCATGAATTACTGGAAGATCAATAAGTGGTACTGTTGGATGATGACATTCATTAGCCGCTTTTCTATCTTTTTCTTCTTGTTCATCAATAATACACTAAATATAATGAAATTTGTTTGCATAAAAAAAAAAAACTAACGATTGGTGCAAAAGTTCTGTATTAATTTCCTTTTCAGCATAGCGTGACAATAACTCATCATGGAGACTCAATAGTTTTCTTTTTAGAAAGAGCAAACTCCCTACTATAAAGCTTGGTAAAAATGTTTCGTTTAACATACTTATCGAACATTACAACGTACCATGTAACCTCACACAAAGATCAGTGATAAGATGTGCATTTGATCGATTTGTCTTGTACTCGGCATTCGATATTGTTAAGCACATTATGTATGAATGTAACCAATGCGGTGTTGGTCTCTAGTAATATCAAAATATTCGAGTTACAAAGCTACAAGTTTCATAGGAACCAGTTTTATTAAAAAATTGAGTTTCTAGCTACAACACTCAATACAGTTTTTCTCATAACGTCTAATAGAAAAATTCTACTTCGTTTCAGAGATCTCAATCGTCTGAGCCACCTTTCTTCGGCTCAGTGCCGCTGACTGAGACCTCTGTTCTGTTTTATATAATATGTTTTTTCTAATTGACTTATAAACTGCTATTGTTGGAAAAACTTTTTCGAAATCGTTTGTGACCAATTTTCGCTAGCAAAGGTCATTAGAAAAATGTCGCTTCTGAACTCAACCAACGACTTAATAATTTGATTTTTAATTATTTACAATGTCGTATAGTAGTGCTACAAAACTCGATAAAAGACAGACAACAAGATGTGAATGGATAAATATTCTTACACACATTTATAATTGAGATTTCGTTCTTTCTAGCAAGAAAATATATCTCAAGCCCTCGACGATGAGCTGTTATCACGCTATGCTAAAAATAAAATTAATGCAGAACTTTTGCATCATCCATTATTCTATACTTGATGCATAGCTAAACCAATAACTCTCATTGTTGTTTCATTTTGATCGGAAAAAAATAAACTCCAAGTTTGTTTTTTGTCTTGAAAAGCTATTTAAAAAACAAACTTTTTAAAATAAATCACATTTGATTTAATTATTCTTTACCTGAATCTTCAAGTACTTCATAATAATTAATAGTAAATGATTGTTTTTGTTCAATTTCAGCCTAAATAAATACACAAAATATTTTCAAAAAATAATTCTAATTATAATCAACTTACATAATCATATAAATTTTTCATACGTTTAAAATAATCTTCAAATAATTGACAAACTGATAAATAACTTGGATCAGATTCTTTGTCTAGAAAAAAAGACTTGTATATTCATGAAATTCTATCATGAAAATAAACCTGTATCAGGAAAATAAAGTGACCAACCACGATAACGTGCTGGTCGTTCAGTAATATCAATATAAGTAGCTAAATAAAACAAAGATATTTAAAAATATACTCCTCTTATTACGATTATTTACTAATAGGTGTTTGAATAAATTTAACTGGACTTGATGGTCCTATATGTGAATGATTTTGATCATGTCCTCCGTCATTTTGTTTCGATAAATTTTCATTATCCTTTTTTTTCTTTTTCCAAAATTGATTTTTAAATTTATTATATGGATTATATCCTTTCTTTTTTGATCCATTTTGTTGAGGTTTTTTCTGTCCTGGAGCCATAAAAAGAAATAATCTAAAATATAATTCGAATAACAATCTAACACAAAAAAAAGTCAGAGAAATACGTTAGTCGAATTGTTTCAGATACAGCCTACAGAATGAAAACAAGAAGAAAAAACAAATAGATAAACGTCATCGTACTTTCGATCGTCAAGGCGCCAAATATGAACTTTGTTTTTTTTTTATATTAAATAGTAAAACAAATAAACTATTTTGTTTTTCGAATGAATTTCTTTAACGAAAATAAAAATAATTCAACTATATTTTCTACAAATAATTCTTTATCAAATTATCGAAGATGTACACCTTGTTATCCATATGATGCTAAAAATTTATTTTATCCAAAATTTAATAATTTTTCTACTATTGAAAGTGATTTTAAAGAAAATAATTTAATAAAAAATCCAGATACATGTTGTTTAAATAAACTACAAGTTGATTGTCGTATTCAATGTTATAAAAAGAAAAAAAAACATAATAAATTATTGCATAATAAACGACATAATTCAATACATTCATCTCAAAGTTTAAAGCGAAGTATTTCATTATCAAGTCAATTAAGTCAAAATCAAAAACAAAAAAAATTTGATTCAACTACGAATATAAACAGTCATTATATTCATAATTATGATATTGATAGTCAAACATCTTCTTCAATACTTTCAACATTATCAAATACAAATGAAAGTGATATAACCGAACAAACATTTTCTTCTATGGAAGCAGAAAAAAAATATAAGAATAAATCTGCAAGTACAATTTTTAAATAATATATATTTTCAAATTAGTCTTAATAATACTTTTTTTTTTATCTAATCAGATGCACAACAACATTATAAAAGAAGCCAATCAAGATTGCATATAAATCAAAATATTCAAGATTTAAAAAGTTCAATTGATAATCTGATTGAATTAATTGTTCAACAAAAAAATCCTTGTCAAATATCTTCATTACCTAATCAATCAATTTCATTTCTTGATAAAATACGTCGTTTTTTTACTTTCTTTAAATCATCATCAAAATCAACAAAAGATTTAATCAATGAAGAGTGTTGTCAAATTCTTGAATATCATCATTTAACGAAACAAAATCTTCTTAGTATTTATCATTTATTTGATAAAAATGAAACGATATTTTTAAATTGGTTACGAAAAATCATGCCTGACTATATTCTTCCATTATTACTTAACTATGTTAAATATTTTGATTCGATATCAACTGATAACGAATAATACATATACTGCATTATGTTGTTTCTTTTTCACAGAAACACAAAAAAAAATTTGTTTTGTTTATGTCGTTTCTTATCTTAGAATAAACTATCACATGAGACTGCTCTTTTTCTTTTGGTTAGGTTTGTCTTTATAAAAAATTGCATGAGTGGTTTTTATTATTATTTTTTTAAATGTTAAATATTAATGAAATCAAACTTTTATTTGTTAGAGTATGATGTTCAATATATTTATGCATGAAATGAAAGTTCATCCGTTAGCTTTGTTTATACCTAAAAGCGTCCGTCCGTTAGTTCGTCATCATTATTTCTTTCAGCTCAATTCAGAAGAACGCAAAGAGAAAAAATGCAAGAAGAAAAATCGTGTTATTCTTGTTCGTTTGCTTGTATGTTTCTCTTTTTTCCCCTCTCTCTCTCGTTTTTTTTTCTATTCCTTTCATTCTGCTCTGTGTACGTGTGTCTATCGCCGTCGTCGTTTATCCTCCACGCTTACTCGACGTATTTGTGCCTCTCTACTGGTGTCGCCATTCATTCCCCCATCGTTACATATTTCCCTTGCGCCGCCGCTTCTGCATCACCGACGGAGCACGCCAGTGTCCACTGCTAGTTCTAATTTACTATTCGTTGTTGTATCGAAGTAGCAACAACGAGGTGGGATGTAAGTCGAAATGGTTGCCGTCTTTAGTTACCATTAAATTAAAAAAACAAATATTTTCATTATAATCTTAGGGCACATTTAAATAATAATGAACCAGTATGCATTGTACAAGGATGTCCAAATGGTATTCAAACAAATCCATCCATACAATATTTTGCTGTGCCAGTACATGTGGCAAATATTGCTGCAGCATGGTATAAAAATACAATGCGTACTGATTTAACACCATCACACACACATCGTATATGTGAACAACATTTTGAAGAACCATGTTTTGATTATGTTGGGAATAATACAAAAGTACTTAAACCAAAATCTTTGCCAACATTATTTGATTTAGAAGTTTTTTATAAAATGATTGCATATCAAGATAAATTACAAGAATCAAATAAAACAATTAAAAAAACTAATATAACATTTCATACAAGTAATCCAGATTTAGATGGTCGTACATTAGAACCAATATTAAAAATGAATTTGGAAAGTGGTCATGTTAAAACACGTTTAGCACCAACAACACCAGTTAATAATATTCAACAAGAACAAATGGATAATAAAAATCAATCATCATTTATTGTTAATAAACCCTCATTAAATCATCATGATAATGTAAGAAAATTTTTACTTGAAAAAAAAAACTGAATTTTAAATATTTTTTATTTTTGTTTTTTTTTTGCATAAATTTTAGTTTGAAAATAAGGCATCAAATCGTTGTCATGTTGAAGGTTGTGCACATAATTATGTTGCACGTCGTCATCGTGTACAATTATATAAAATACCACGTGATCCTACAACAGCTCGTAAATGGCTTGATATATGTGGTTATGAAAATCTTCAAGTATCATCATTAACCTCAACATTTAAAGTTTGTCGTGAACATTTTACACAAAATGATTTTGAAGGACCAACAACATTACGTCCTGATGCTGTACCATCACTTTTTACAACATATTCACGTTCACTTATGGATAAACTTAATTCAAATGATTCGAATTCATCAGCTAAACGTTTTCGATCTGATATGGCAAGTATACGTGCTAAACAAACAACACCAGTAAATAATAATAACAATAACAACAACAATAATAATAATAATATTAATATTAATAATATAAATAATAAACGCATGCAAATACCTTATCGAAATAATAGTAAACAATACCATCATGAACAACAAATTCTTTCACCATCACCCACACGTGAAAATTTCGATGATAATATGAAACAATTATTAAATGAAACAAAACAAACAATTGATATTGAATTAAATATGAATTGTATGGACGAGCAATTATCTGAAGCTCAATTAGCGCATTGTCCTGTTAAAGTAAATATTATTTTTTCAGACCTGGACAAGGACGAGTTTTTTCAAGTAGGAGCTAGGGAGCTGTAGGTTCATGGTTTGTATGGATCCCGGGATCCGAAAAAAACTAAACTTAAAGAGCCCACCAGGTCCTTATTGGCTACTTTGTGAAAAAAAGTCAACGTATAGTTTTTTCTTGCTCATTTTCCACCACTCGATGCTTATTAAATTAAAGGTTTTCGCTTAGTTGAAAAGAATATTATGTTAATAGAAAAGAAAATTGAACTGTTAACTGATAAAACAAAAGTCGTCCGACCAACATAAGCATCAGTCTTCAGCTGTACAGAATCGTTTTAATTATATTTATGTAAATGAGATCAATTAAGTAGGAAGCTGCAAGTTCGCGTTTTTGTGGATCTGAAAGGACTCGCTGCTCTCCAGTACGAACCCTTGAGTAGCACTACCACCGACCCTACGGGTCACGAGCATCAACACCCTCGAGTACGAGTAGAAAAATCAACCCTTCGAACCACAAGTACGTACTGGCACATGTTTCAGTTTGATTATTTCAAATTGATTTATATATTTATTGATTTTTATCAATTAGGCTCTCGATCGAACAGATACAGCAAATGGTATAGCACCAAAACCGCGTAATCCTGTTGGTCGTCCTCGCATACATCCTCGTGAACCACCGACAACAACATCAATGACAAATTCTACAACACGTCGTTCAAGTTATCGTACAAATTATAATGATGATGATACAAATGAATTTGATGAATATGATGAATGGAATCTTGATGAATTTGATCATAATGATGATACAGTACGTGATCGTGATTGGCTTAATCGTCAACAAGATGATCGTTTACCATGGTCAAAACGAAATAATTCAACTGTTAATAATTATTCATCAGCATGTCAACGTAATAATAATAATAATAATAATAATAATAATAATAATGCAAATTCTTATCGAAATGTTCGGCCACCAGTATCGTTTCAACAACAACAGCAGCAACAACAACAGCAACAACAACAACAACAACAACAACGTCAAACAAATAATAATCAACAACGATCAACTCGTGGACAATTTTATCAAACACAATTTGTTAAACCAGAACCAACACGAAAAGCAACAATACCATTTCTTCAACCCGCTTTTGCGCCAAATGCTTCTACACAATATCCACGTGATCAACCATTGCCACGTCTTAAACCAGGCACAGTTAGAACGCGAGGTAAATTCTTTTAGTTATTTCTTAAGCTTTGAAAAAAACCTTCATTTTATTTTACAGAAGAAGGTCTTGAAGTCGAACTCGGTATGTGTTATTCTTGATGAAATTTTTCAAATAATTTGTCTTTTTCTCCTTGTCAGAACATACTTATAAACGAGCTCTATCAAAATATTATGGTCAAAAACCCGGTCGAAATTTACCATTATCCGATTATGGTGATTTTCGTAGTCAAGTAAATAAAACAATTTAAATATTAAAAAAAAGTCTTTCATTTTATAATTAACATACACAAGATTATTTTAGTGTCCTATGTGTGAAAATCTTCTATTTGATAATAATATTCAATTAATTACACATCTTTGCCAACATTTTGATCAGCAAAATAATCATGAACAACAACAATTTCAACCAAATACAAATTCACCATTTGAGCAAATAAATACAAAATGTTCACATTGTCAATCAGAATTTTCAAATCCATATTTTCTTGCTATACATATTGATGATAAACATATGCTTGAAATGAATGAATATCGTTGTCGTATTTGTGAACAACGTCATACATCATTATTAGAATTAATAGCACATTTAAATTTATGTCATTGTGGTTTAGAAATGCCATATTATTGTGAAGTATGTTCATTTCGTACATCAATGCATGCTGATATGATTTATCATATTGATGAAGTACATAAAGGTACAAGATATTTCTTTTGTCCATATTGTTTTATTGCCATTGAATTACCATTTATAACAAATTCATCAACAATACTTAATGGAACATTAGCATATAAACATTTATTATTACATTTTAATAAAGTTGATCAAGGACGTACAATACAATCAAAATTTAAACATTGTAGAAAATGTGTTTTACATGTTGGATCTATGAAAGATCATTTACAACGTGATCATTTAAATATAGTTGATGGAATTAAAGCTACATATTATGATGATGATGAAAATCGTAAATAATTTTGATTTCATATAGAAAAACAATAAAAATATTTAAAACCATTTTCTTTTTTTACATCCTTTTAGTAGAAAAACAAAGTGATGAAGGTGAACAATATGATGACTCAATAATGGATACGTCTTCATTACCAATTGATAAATCGTCAACAGCAAGATATGTGACACCGGCAAAGAGTGGATAAAGATGTTTTTTTTTTCTTTTCTTTTATGTACATTTATTATTATTGTCTATCTTTCTTTCGTCATTGCTCTTCTCCTATCCGTTTGGTCTTGTAGATCGAACACTGTTTGTGTGTTTATGTATGCGTATAGGTGTTATGACGTTTATCGTTTTTTTTTTGTCTTTGCAGAATATAACTTTGCGCCTGTCTTTTTTTTTCGTCTTCTTTTGATTATCACATAGAACATTATTTGCACAGCAAATAATTTTGCTTGACAATACAAGAGAAAAGAAAGAAATGATAAAGTACAAAAAACAAAAAACAAAAAACAAACAAATAATCAATGTACAATAACAGCCAACAAGTTTTGAATGTGATAAAATGAAGGAGAAAGATGAGTTCCTATAATAGAGAACAGAAATACGTAGACTAATGATTAATGCACATTTTGTGTTTTTAATATTTAATTTTTTTTCAAATAGTAGTACATGAATCGATTGGAAACTCGATAGCTCGTTTTATGAAGTGTTTTTTATAAAACATATATAATTTGGTTAAACCAAGGATGTTACCTATTAGTTCAAACAATTTAAAGTTGAGATAAGGCTGCACTCAAACCCATTAACAAAATTTGAATATTTCAAATTTATATCAATAAACTGTTGTGTTACAAATATAGAAGAGAATAACCCAAACTTTGGGTCTGATTTCTTTTATTGAGTCTAGCAGGTAACTTTACAAGGTTACTGAAATCTCTCTTTTCACTTTCTGTAGTATCATTCTCCAACTTCAATTTCCTATTGACAGACAAATGTTGTGTTATGTAGTTCAGTAGATAAACGCATTTTTCTTCGTCTGGACGAAGTGATCCAAACAGTTTTGGTACATGCCTAGTCGAGACTACGTGCATTATGTAGGTTGTAGTGAACTAGAAAAACCTTGTAACGAGTTCGAAAGCTTGATTTATCGCTTTTGGGACATTATATTTTTTTAAAATAATTATTTTGTTTCACTCAGAAACACAAGGAAAATTGAGTTTCAAATTTTGACTTGACACTTTGCATAGAAATACAGTTCCATAAGAATAGTTTATTATGAAAATTTTCGAACATTTGATTGCTTCTATTTTAAAATAAGTACATCTGGAATTAGTCGGTGAACATGAGTGATATGAAAAACAAACTGTTTTCATAACCATATTTTTGAATAGAACCAACTAAAAGATCTGTAGTTATTACAAAATAGCTAATTCCATTGACGTCGGTCTCTGTGCAAAGATTTGATTTGAAATTCAAAGCTTAGCTATCCTAATATCGATGCGTGAAATGCAATAAGTTACAAACTCGACTAAAAAGTGATTGTACACTTATTAGACTTCATTCATAAATGATAATCTTACGGATGCTTACACTTTACCATTTGTATTATGGGTCTGGTTCTCTAATTAAAGCTATCAATAGAATGGGATAGTCAAAGCATATTGTAACCTTCATTATAGAAACACATCTGTACGTTATATCGATAAATACACACAAGAATAATATCCACCGATTGTTCAACCCATATAACAAAATGATCTATAGAGGAATAAACTTGAACATCTTACAGAAGATATGAATCAAGTTTGATCACATCGAAACATGGTTATGACAGTAATACTTATATATATATATTCTCTCTTTCTCTCTCTCCGTATTCGTATCTAATCAGATGACTCTCCAATAACAATACAAATACAGAAAATCATTGGAAAGATGTCTCATGTTACTGAGAATGTAAGCTATGAATCAATGAATGAAAGCCATTAATATATAAAATTTTTATTTTCCTTATTTTCTAAGAACAATTTAGAAATGTTTTATTATCAATATCATGAAAATATACTATTATGAAATTTCAAAAAGATAAAGAATGTTTTTTCAAATCAAGATGAAAACTTTTTTCTTTTCAACAAAGCAACATACTTGATATGAGTATAGAAAATCACATCTGGTTATTTTAACTAAGACATGAAAGATAGATCAGTATTGTTTATTTTGATCACCGGCGAGAATACCATCGATTATTCATATGAACCTTGAATAGAAAAAAGCAAGATATTTGGAAAAATATTGCATTTTCTCAAATTCGAACTTGTTCATAATTATTAGATGTTGTTGGCCGACGTCGAATAGTTGCCATCGGTAATTGTTTAGTTCGATCAAATTTTAGCGGATAAAATCGATGGTTGTACGCTAAACAAAAACAACATTTTTCTATTTAATATAGTATGTCCTAAAAGTCCCCTCACGAAATTTTTTTTTCTTATACCTTTACTATTCGATTCAACTTTATCAACGAATCTTATTTTGAAAATGATAGATTTATACATCGAGTTTTTATTTATGCAAGTAAACTTCAAAAGTACCGTTCAAAGCTAACACCTCTAACTGACATACAAATTTAGCGTTTCTTCTATATCTAAAAAACTAATATACAACTATTCACTTTTAATCACTCTGTTTACATTAAGTCAAGAAACGATGAAGAATATGAGATCAATCGATCGATATCTTCTAAACAATTGATTATCAGAGATATTGGTCAGCAAGAAGCGATCTACCTTCGAAAAATGTTCTAATGAGTTATATTGCTGGAAAATCACTAGTTATTAAACACTTTTTTTCTTTACAATCAGGTAGAAGAAGCTGCAGAGCATGTTATTGTTATTTTGTTGACCAATTGTTGCGCAATGTTGACCAATCATTGGATTATCAAAACAATAATCCAACATTCAGTTTGCTTGATACGACATATGAGTCACTTTGAGTCCAAATATAACAATGATGTTTATGAACTAATGTAAAATATGAGCGTTAGAGCTTGTTGAGTCCAAAATTTTTGCACCCGAATCCGAGATAAACTCGAGGCGTTTTAAAGAATGCGTACATAACGTCCAAGAAAATGAAGCAATTATAAAATAATCGTTGCACAATGTCTTTATACATATAGCAAAAAAAAAGGAGTAAATTTTTGTATTTCGATTAGACGTGATAACTTTGAAGAGTACTTTTGAAGTTTGCTTGTTTTAATAAAAATTCTGTGTATGGATCTATCATTTAAAAGAAAGATTAATTGATAAAATAGAATCAAATAATAGCGATATTACGATAAACAGTTTTGTGATGAAACTTTTTCGATATACTGTATTTTCTAATTAACTTACAATCATTTGTTTGATGATAAGTATTTCTTTTTAGATTTTCTTCATAATTTAAATATGATTTTTTTTCATCTATATTTAGATTTGATGAATGATGATAATTATAATGTTCTTTAAGTGATCTAACATGAAGTACACATCGGTTACAATATTTAAATAATGACTCAATTCGACGTTGTTGTTTACTATTACTATTTTCAATTCTATCAAAATGAAGTATAACATGACGAAAAGCAGGTGTTGAATTAAGAATATTTGTATTAGATACTGCTGGTAATAATACTGATTGAAAACAATAAGGACAAAAAAAATATTGTGTTCCTTTATGTACCTAAAAAACAACAAAACAAAAAACTATAAATAAAGAGTAGCCTATAAAGAATAGAACACTTTGATTTTGTCTTTTTGAAGACAACCTATTCTTTTGTAGAAAAGTCGAAAAGATTGTCAATTATAGAACTGCCACTATCAGGAAATAAAACAACTATTAAAAATATGTTTAAATAATAACTTCACCAAAATTCGAAATATGCTACATCTTGCGAGGTTTCGAAATTTTAGAACAAAAAAAAACACTTGGAAGCACAAATTTTCAAGCAAACAAATGCAAAAGTTCTTTCTGGCAACTTCATGCCATTGGAAACAATCTAAAGATTTTGGTTATTCAGTTTAAATGTTATATCATTTTCTTCAAAGTTGAATTCTGCATCCAATAATATAATGATAAATCGTTCATCGAGAACGCTAACTTTTGAAAACACGAGCTTTAAAAGCGCAGTCTAAACAAACTACCACTAGGTCTTAGTTCCAAGCCTCTTGTACCTGAAAACATCACAAGGGGTCTTTAGAAAAATTTTGGAAGCATCGAACATGAATTGTTAGATGTTCCGAGAAGATCTCAGTGAGACAGACATCAATCTTTTCAATTTTTCATTGACAAGAAATTCCTATTTTAAAAACAAAGTCTACATTTGTGTAGAATAAAAAGCTCTCCACCGAATGAACTTCGAATGATGACTTTGAGCAGTGTTTCTGTTTTTATCAAACTGTCTCATTATTTATGAGTGATTCGTTATTTATAAAAACATTAAATAAAAAAAAATAATAGACTTACTTGTCGAATATGATGAGCCATATCTTCATACATGGATGTTCGGTAATTACATCGATCACATACATATGGCATATCAAGACCAACATGCATATAATTTAAATGTGTACATAAATCTAATAAATTATGATGATTTTGTTGACAAATTCGACAACGAAATTCATTTATTTCAAACATATGTTCTTGATCTTTATGTAATAATGTTTGAAATGGTGTTAAAAATTCATCATGACATATTGAACAACGTCGATAGATTTTATCAAATGGACTAATATAATTAAGATCATCTTCAAAATGTGAACATAAATGTGCTATAAATGACATATTATTTGATGACTGTTCACCACATATAGAACATTCTAATGTGAAAAAATGAGTTTTCTTTTCTTTTTGAAATCAATATAAAAGAAAAAAAAACCAAACATACTAATATGAAAATCTCCATACTCATTTGAATTTATTGTTTGACCATTGCGAGTACCATAAAAACGTGGTAACACAGTAGCATAAGTACGTTCAAGTTCTAGTTCCAATGAATCTGTATCATGATGATGATGCCTATCATTAGAAGATGATGAATAAACTTTTGACCGTATCTGAGAACTTGTTTCAGGTTGTGGTCGAACAAAATGAGTTGATGGTGGTAATCGATTATTTGCTGAAGTTAAATGACCACGTCCACCACGACCACGACCTCGAAAAAATAACAAAATCTTTTTCTTATTGTTTAATAAAAAAAAAAAAAAAAGAAAATTGTACCTCGACCAACACTACCATTAACATGACTATTACGATTATATGGACGTCGATCGTGTTCTGGTAGATAATTTTCATCATCATCATCATCATCATCGGATTCACTGGGAATAAAATCTTCATCTTGATCTTGAAGAATTTCAATATCTGATGTAGTTAATTTTTTTAATACTGATGTACGTTTACGAACAGCTGGTAATGGTAGTGGAGCAGTTGGATCATATGCCTGAATATGATATAAAAAAAAATATTTTATAATGAACAAAATAAAATTATTACTTGTGTTGGATAATTTTGTAATTGACTTTCACTAAGCATTTCTTCTTCACATGTTAATTCTAATTCAGGTGTATCATCGAAAATTTTTGTTGAAGATTTTAACCAATTATTATTATCTTCATTTACAAATTGATGATTAAGATTGATTAATTGTGATGAATATGGATGATTTCGATGATTAATACTATTATCATTATGCCATTGTTTAGTTTTTATTCGATCAATTGTATGTTTAACAGCTGTTTGTGGTTTTCGATCGGATGATGAACCATTTGTCATATGATGTTGAAACATTGAACTAAATATTAAATTATGAATCTTATTTTTGAGGTTTTATTTTATTATTTTCATATATTTACCCTATATTTTTCTTTTGAGGTTTGCGTAATATGCAATACCTTTTGTGTTATGAAATATTTTTTCCTATGTTATTAATATTTTTCTCGAAAACAAAAATCAATCGATCAATTGGTTAAATAGGTATTGATATGAGATATAAAGAGAAAAGAGATGTACAAATTATGAATCTTTCGAATAGAGGACTCGTTCCAGTAGTAATCTATTTCGAATAGCAAATGGTTAACAGATAATAACAACGATTGGTTGGAAACGTATGACACGTAGAGGACGCACGTTACTTATTGATAAAATTAATAAAAATTAAATTTAAACAAAGGAAAAAAAAATTATTATTTTTATTTTTAGCTTAAAGTTTGATAAGATTATTTCCTTGATTACATATCTATTCAATAAAATAAAAAAGAATTTATTGAAATAATCAAGAATTTTTTCAAATACAAAAAGCATCACCTGTGGTTTTGAAACTTTATAGATTCTTTATACATAAAGAAATACACATTATAGATTTAGTAATATTTATCAATTATGTGTTTTCTTCTCGTATTTAGATCTACGACCACTCACAGTTCTTTGCAGAAGTGCTCGATGAATGATGCTAATTTCGTTACTCGATCGTGAACTATTACACACCTAATTGTTTGATATTCATATATTTTTCTCCTTTGCAACTAATGTAAATAGAACTTTGACAAGAAAATTAACCACTTTATGAATCGAAATTAAAATAGACATTTGTAGTATCTCTCAGAAGGAATGATTATTCATTCCTCGTGTACTAAATGTCAAACAAGTGATCATGACAACAGTTTGAATCACATGAATACAAATACAAAGTGAAAATGTAGGAATATCATGTATTAAGCAATTACAAGATTAACTTCCATAGAAGTTTTTGTAGAAATAAACAAAACTTTGAAAAATACGAAGATAATAGAGACTAATGAAATCTTCATAGAAAACATCATTATCACAGTTTTCGAGTAAGACAAAGATTTTCTTTATAGAAAGCTCTTTCTTTAGCGAGAATCTTAGTTTTCCAGTAATTATTTGCTGCCTACGCCTATTTGAATATCAGAAAAATTTTGAAAATGCCTTAGTTTTCTAAGTAAATCTTAGCAAAAAACTGACCCGGAATAGAAGGCCATGGCCTATTATTCTGAGAAGTGTGGGATTTACACGTATCCAATATTAGTAAGAAACTATTTAATAATTGAAAAATTTTTAATTAAAAATCTACTTATATAACGGTATCTATTGTTTATTTCTGATATGAAGCTATTGCGAACTCTATAAAATTTTGATAAATTAAGAGTATTTTATTATTTATTCAAGTTTTTAAAATCAATTCAAATTCTATAGATGTAATATATATTAAGTATATAGGATAGAAAATTTTTTATTACAATATCCTATATGAACGCGCCTAATATTCACAATAAAAAGTTCTTATTGATCACGTGATTTTTCTGTCAATCGAATATAAAATGTCTCATAATAACACAACTGTTAAATTCATCGCTACAACAAATCTCAGAAGCAATACAATCAATTCATTTATTCAACTAGATTTTTCTTCGAATATTCGATTAACTCGATATCTTCTTCATATAACTATTCTTATTTTATTTATTTCTATTCTTACATTTATTGGTCATAAACATAATTATCTTCGAATATCAATTCGTCCATATTCACAATTATCTCGTTTTATCATATCGATTGGTATTATTGGTCTTGTTCTTGATGATTTACTTGTTATTAATGGTGTAACACATCGAATATGGTGTTCTATTCATCAAATATGTCTTCATTTTTTGCTTATGATTATTATTATAAGTCGTTTATTACCTGATTTCTATGAATATACAAATCAATATTATCATCGAGTTAATTCTAATAAATTAAAATCTATTATTATATTTAGTTTTATTATTTTACTTTGTATTCAATTATTTATTTCAATTAAATGGTTATGGAATAATAATAATTATTTACCAAATAATGAATGGAATCCGCCAGTTTTTTGTCGAGGTTATATTCATCCTCAATTATTCATATTTATTCTTCATTTATTTGACTTAATATTTACTATTCAATCGATACGTGAACCAATTATTCTCGATGATATTAGTCCAATATCATCAACAACTGTATTGATTATTGAAAAATTTTGTCAATTAAATAGTATTCTTTTACGTTTATTTTATTTTACTGGTACATCAATTGTTCATATGTTATTTTTACCAGGACAATTTTCAGCTACTTTCTATAGTGGAATATTAGTTATTGAATTTATATTGAAATATTTAATTATGATCTATCATTTGAATTTAAAATATGAAAGAAATATTGATAATACGAATGGAATGATTAATACAGGATATTTACGTTTAAAAAATGATGATCTTAGTGATGATTCACGTTTGCTCAATGATATTGACTGATATACATTTACACACATGAAAAAAAACAACACAAACATTGACAAACAAAACAACGATGTACATAGATAAATATGAATAGTTTTTATTTGTCTTCTTTTTTTTTCGTCTTGATCTTGTTTTTAAAGATTGATTGAAGGAATCATCAAGGGTGGTTTATGATGAGCTAAACGAGATGATGAAGATGATGATGAACTACCTGAAAATGCATGATTTTCATAGACGAGTACAGTAACAGGTGCATGACGCGTGTTTGTTGGTGTATTTACTTGACTAAGAAGTTGTTTTCGTTTTGCTTTATATCGTCGATTTTGAAACCTAAGAAAACAAAAAAAAAGAAAATCTAATATTCAACTTTTACAAAACATAAATATGTATATTCATTCAATACAAAAACGTCTTTTTTATAACATAATCTCAATTTAGATAAGATATTTATTTATTCACTTACCATATTTTAACTTGTTGTTCTTGAAGCTAAAATAAAACAAAAAAAAAGCAAAATTCAGTATTATTTAATCTTGCATATTTCTTATTTTGTTAAACATAAATTACTAAATACAATAAAATCTTCAGAATTAATCAATGAACACTTAAGTAAGCATTACAATTTATTATTTCGTTTTCATGAATACTTAATTCCAAATGAACATATCAATGATAAAATAAGAAATATATTTTGAAAGGTTTTTTTTTTTTAATTTGAAAATAAAACTTACACTTAGTAGACTAGCTAATTCTGCTCTTTCTGTACTTGATAAATATTTTTGTTGTGCAAATCGTCGTTCAAGTTCAATAACTTGTGCATGAGAAAAAGCAGCACGTGAACGTCGTTTAGTTTTTTTTATTTGAACATTACTATGATTTCCACCTCCTATTGCTGTTGGTGTTGATGATGATGATGACGTAAAATTTCGCATACTTAATAAAAATGATTTAGCTGCTTCAGTACTTGCACTATTGAATAGATGTTGTCGATATGCATCAATACTACTTCTCATTGTACTAATACTACTACTTGTTGAGCTATTTGAACAATCTCCATTTTCATCTATAGTTTAAATTATAAAAAAATAAAATAAAATAAATTTTTATTTAAATATTTTAAACAAACCAGATTGAATTTTTTCTTTACCAATTGATAAATCAGTTGCCTGTTGTTGTTGTTGTTGATCATAAACTTGAACAGCATCATGTATGGGTCTTTTTTTCTTGACAACACAATCACGTAAAAGTGATTCGACATCAAATGGTTTTCCACCGATCATTTTTTTTTTTCTCCTTTTGTTTTTCTTATCTATCAAAACACTTGTTAGTTTTCACGTCTAGAAAAATAATAAATACTTCTCGAATCGAGTTCGATAAAAGAAAAGTGGTCATTTCATTGATTGTCTACATCGGTTTTTTTTTTGCTATTCTTTTTTTTCCCTACTATTCAATCACCAATCAGATTTGTATGCGATAAAAAGAGATGCAAATATTTTCTATTGGTTCATTGTCTTTTCTTTGCTTCTTTTTTCTTCTTCTTTCGTTCGCTTAATATAATGAGAGAGATGATCATCTCAGCATGATATAGAGTTTTAGTATGCATTTGGCGTGTTCGTCGATAGGCTGTAGCTTTTCAGGAAATGAGCACAGAAAACAGAACAATCAAGTGCAATCTTCTTCGTTGTTGTTGAATAGACACAAAATATACGATTAACAATATTGAAGAGAAAAAGACAGAAGAGACATGACACGACATGAGGAGATAATTTCACTGAGCACAACTATTTTCCTTCTAGACTAAGACAAAGACGACACTGATCGATTCCAATCAAGAGAGTCTCTTGACAAACAATCATTTTCATGTAATGTCAAGCATCTGCAGATGCATGTAAATTCTATAGCTGTCTTTTTATTCTTTTTTTTATTTTCATCGAATGGTGTCATCTCTCTCTGTCTCTCTCTCATTCTTCTACATCATATGCTTATTATTGTTTCTCTGTGATGATGAGGATCATTATCATTTCTCTTTAATCGATGATGTACACGAATCAAATTACCTTGCCTACTACTGTTAACTACTGTTTTATTATTTGTTGGTAGAAAGATGAAAGTCATTAATCTCAAAGTTTATATATTCTATATACAGAGAAAAAGAAGCACAAATGAATAATCAATCATCGATCGATCTATTTCCTACAGTGAACAACAACAGTTTTTGTTTATAACACTTGCTCATAATCGTATGCGTGTTCTATATGAGCAAGTAGAATGTCAGAAAGAGAAAAAGCGAGAGAGACAGAAAAGAAAAACGGATGTAAACGATCAATACCCTAAACTCAAATTAACAGACATATCTATATATACACACGCACATCCATATTGTCTACATTGATTCATTGAAAGAAGGACAATGCTCATGTTGATGATCATCGACCAGTAGTCCATCATTATCGGTCGACATTAACTAAATAACTTGCAGCAAATTGCATGACTTTTTCCAATCAATAAGATTAGACAAGAAAACAAGTTGCTCATTAAATTAATTTTACAAAATGATCATTTATAAATGACACATATGCTGGATAGTGATAAAAATCAATTTAGTTTAATAATACTCAATCTACTATGAAATGCTTGTATTTATGTGTCTTGAAATTTTAACTATTTTGAAAGTTACTTTATCAACAGTCTTGTACGATGAACAATTGCGTTTGTATTTTACACGTGACACGAGAATTCAATTGAGTTCAACAGACACACATTCATTTTTGAAAAATTCTCTGATAAGAGAAGTTCTTCAACTGTTCAATTGCTTTTGAATCAAGACTATATGCATTATGTGGATCCAAATGAACCATGAATACATTGGAAAGAGTTCGTAACTTTAGCTTATTGCTAAGATACTATATTTCAACCGTATGTTTTAAATTAAATGTCATAGTTCTCTTCAAGAACGCTAGTACACCTGATTTTTGAATTTCGACTTCAAGCTCTGCATAGAAACAGGCCTAAATGAGAATAGTTTTTTGTGAACGTTTCAGATTTTGTCGCTGTACTTATCATTTATTTAAAAATATATGGTAAAAGTTTAATATCTCCGTGGAAATAAACTAAGGACAAGAACTCTTTTCAGAGTATTTATAGTTCATACAGATCTGCATAATACACATAGTCCGACTCCAAAGTGATTGAACAGTTGGAGAACTTTCTTCATTTTATAATAGAAATAAAGTTTCGTAAACAAGATGAACTAATTGATTTAGACAATAATTTACAAAATAAAATCCCATTAAACAAACTAAATAAATATTTTTAATGGTTTTTTTCTGCATTTTTGTCTTTTACTGATTAGAAAAAGTAAACGATCATTGTAGTGTATATATTTGGGTTTTTGTGAATGCTCTAATTCATTTGCTATTAATTAAAAATAGATATCGAGTGAGTTCTTTTCTTTTGGAGTCATTTAAGAACTATTTTCTTTAGTTTAAGTCGATTCTGATTGCACTGTTATTTGATAAGATTTCTCGTCTGTCTCGCTTCCGTTTTGCTAATTTTACCATGAATAGCAAATGACAATAGAAATCAAAAATAAATTAGTGTCTTACCAAAAAATTCGATCTAAAATTTACCAAGAACAATTACGCATCATAGACTATCGATCATACTATTAAGACAACAAATTAATTTTTCAATTTTATTAGTGCTTTCAATCACATATTATGTTCTAATGTCACAATTATAAGAGACACATGTGGCATAATGCACTCATGTTTTTAAAAATCATCCACATCAACTTTTTGCTCGAGTGAATAAATATTTTAAGAAAAGAAACATTTTTCAGAAAACTTCATCAATCATTCAATGTCATCATACCCTCGAGATCAAACATATATATATATATGAAAAATATGTACTCCTAAAAGAAAAGTAATTTATTTACATTTATTATCACTATTAAAATTTCACCAATCATTAAATGAAGCATTGCTTTAATAAAAATATATTAAGTTCGAACAACTAGTTTAGTATATTGTTTTTCATTGTGTTTAAAAAATTCGTTAAATAAATCCTGTTTCAATTCTAATAAAGTAAGTAATTTAGATTTGATTTTCTTGTACAATTTGACATCATATTTACGTCATCATCTACCACAGATATATTTCCAAAAGATATATAAGACTAACAAGTAGTGTGTATTGACATTTCAAAAATTAAAACTACTCAGAAAATGTTTTCATATTTAATTAAGAATAATATCATTAATTGCTAATCCTATATGAATATAAGACAATAAGTTTTATTGCATGAAACAAGACAATATAGATATAAACATCCACGAATAATAAATTTCAATAATAGAATCTAAGATAAATGAACACATACGTGAAGGCTAATATTTAGATCGAAATAAAAAAGATTATTCATCTCGGTATGTTTTGTGTTAAATAAAATTTGGAAATACAAAAAAAAGGCATCAAAATATCATTATGATTATAAATATAAACTGATTGTTAAATTTTAGCTTCAATAAAATTTATTAATTGTTTTACTTCAGTTTTAGGTATACTTTTATAACATTGAAAAATCATGATGAATATAAAATGTTCTCATAACTATTCACATAAGAAAAAAGTAAAACGAAGCTTTAAATATCCTTTAAATGAAATATCAGAACTGTTTTATATTATTGTCGTGTTATCAAAGATTTATTTTAGAAATATGACGTACGATAAACGAATATACAGTGAGTACCAAAATGATTCAGCAAGGTTTATTTGCATTTTTTTCTCTTGTCATAAGCACTACAAAGAATTCGAATAGAGAAAATGATTTCTAACAGAAATATAAAGAAATAAAAATTATTATTAGGCTTGCAAAGATAGAAACTCCAGAAAATCAAACATTAGTTTTTTAACATCTAGAGCGCATAAATATAATTTTATTGAAATTATATAGAACGATAGAAATAGGAAATTCGCAAAAAACTCCTTTAGAAGCTTCTGTAAGTTTACTATATCTCAACTAGAAAATGTTGCAGTAAACTCGAAGACGTTCCATTTTGTGGAGAATTTTTTTTCTCTATCGTTCTATGTAGTTAACAAGTAGAAGACAATTGAAAGTAAACATTGTTGAATAATATTGGTACCTGCTATCTATAATTATTATACGCAACGCTAATAAAAGTAGATACATTTATTTAGTTACAATTGAAGCCAAGAGGAGCAGAAAGTTGTACAGTAGTTGCAGATGTTGGATGTTTTCGTCTTGATGTTACATTAAATAAAGTAAATATTGATTTTTTAATTGGTTTATTCCAATTAATAATCATTAAAGTAATAATGAGTAATGATACAGCTGGAAATGATAAAGTAATTAAATAAATACTTTCAGGAACAATATCATTAAGATCAAAAATCGAAATAAATGCAAAAAAACCCCAACCAATAACAAATACACATGAAAATGCTGCAAATTGATGTAATAATGTAACATTTTTTTTATTTTGACGACTATATAAATAATGAGATATTTGATAAAATTTATTTAATCTACATTTTTGTTTTCGTCGAAATGATAAATGAAAATCTGTACGTAATTTATTTATATGAAAATAAATTATCAAATTAAATATTGTTATAAATATAACAGGTAAAAAAAATCCAGTAAATACTCCTAATGTCATATAAAATGGTTTACGTGCTGAACAAAAACGTGGTTTTACTTGAAATTCAATTTGATTTAAAAATAATGATATTGATGGTATAAGAAATGCTAAAAGCCATTGTAAAATTATTTCAAGTATTATAAATTTTATTGATAAATAATATTTTTTTAAACGATAAAATGCATTCAAAAAACGATTTATACTAACAAGTAAATATGAATACATAATACCATGACAAAAACTATATATTAAATAACCTATTATACGACATAATTCCATATTAATATTATGATTTATTGAATATTGTAATGCAATTGTTACGGAAGTTATAAAAGTAAAACATGAACATATAAGATTCAATGCTGAACTAAATTAAAAATTAAAACTTCTAATATGATAATATGATATATTATGAAATGAGATATTTCAATATTAAGTTAGTTATTATTACGATAGTATACAGTATTATTAATGTTAAAGTAATCTTTTTTAGAAGATAATACTTACAAATAATAACTGGAACTTGTATTAGATATCATATTAGCTTAGCTATGTGAATATTAAATTTAATAAAATACATATAAATAGAAACCTCTCCTTTATTAAAGCTTCTTATTTTAAAATATTACATTTATCTTTTATCTGTTTTCCATAGAAGAATAATGCGTCAATCGTAATTGAAAATATGATTAAAATCATTTTATTTTTTTCAATAGTTGAAAACTAATTAGTTGCATCAGTAGTGTTTACTTTTAGTGTGGCAAAAACAACCTAGACTCTGTTGTTCAAAGAACCTGTACATAGTTTCTAGATAAATATTCTGGACATACATTTTTAATTAAAATAAATTTATTGATTATTACACTTATTAGAAATAAATTTTAATGAAAGTTTTTTATTAATTTAGTTAAATATGTTCAAGCAAATATGTATGACAATTAAGCATTGTCTATAACTTTTTTTAAAGAATAAATGAATGATCACGTCTGTTCATAGGACTAGATAGAATTTACATAAACATTTACAAAATATGTCTATATATAATATTCACTTACTTGACTAATAAAATATTTTGTGGAGTCCGTAAAATTCGTAGACGTATAATTGCAACAATGAAAAGAATATTAAGAAGAATAGTAATAATAGAAAATAAATATTCAATAGTTGCTCGTAATAATAAAGAAGGTATAATTGTTAACAAAGAGTTCATTATGATCTATTTTTCAGTATCATATACACACAGTAAGATATTTTAAAAAAAGTTGAAGAAGATAATCTGAAAAAAAAAACAGAAATGATTGTTGTTCATTTTGTAAATAACAATGAAGTATGTTCAGAGAAAATAGTAGTGTGATTATTGTCAGAATATATTTTTTTCGACATCAATACACTTCAATAAAAATGTATGAGAAACGCTGATTATCTGTCGCGTTCATGACTGTCGGCAACTACAACTACTCGAATATGTTTAGTTATAACACCGTAATGTTATATGCAAACTTTTCTTTTTCTCTACAAGAGAATCTGTTTTTAGACTATAATCTCTTGTTCCAGCAACCTATTATCAAGTTGTGATACGCCTTGATCATATTACTAATTATATATAATCTTCTTAAAATGTAACAGAACATTTGTATGATGGTAGTGAGTATTAATCTTATGGCAAAAAAGAATTATAGGTTACAGAATATGCATGAAAAATCGATGACTGTGATAAATGATAGTTTTATTATTGTTTACTATTATTATTATTTTTTTTTTCTAATTAAATTTGTACATCATTGCTATATACGAATCATATTTGTAAAGATTTTCTTCATTGACCATAACTGTAGTCTTCTTGAATAAATATAAAGGATAATTTGGATTTGACGACAAGCATTTGGATGGTGTGATAAGCAAAATTAACTTGAATGAAATCACAGCGAATTGCAACTAATTACTGGGCTGCTCATCTACAGATTAGTAATATTATATATATATAAATACACTGAAACATTGTCTGCAAGTCATACCCTACTATTAAGAAACAGGTTTTACTCAATCAAGAAAACGCATCATATCTAAATTTTCACTTATATTTTCAAACGTTGAAAATAAAAGAGTTTGGAAGAAAAATTTTAAAATTCATAATTTTTATTTTCTTCTAACGATCCTTGAAGAAATATGGTACACGTTTTCATGAAGATCTCAAAATAGTCATTATGCTTTTCTCATGGTTTCTCTTCTCAGTATGTAATTACTTTTTTCTATAGCTGTCGAACAACTCCCATTTAATCATATCTGAACAACTAAAGCAGATTTCGTTCTACAAAATTAAAATATTTCCACATTCTCCAAATTCTTTTCAATACTTTTTGGTATCTGTAAGATAAAAATGTACTGAAAAACACTTGCACAGAGAATAATTTCTTATAAATTCGATAGAGCGATGAAAAATGGCAACAAATTAGATCTTGAATCTACTAAAGACGCAAGTTCATCATTATATTTGATAGAGATATAACCTATGATAATAAATATTTTTCATACACGCTAATCATATACTCTAATCAATATTCCATCATCTCTTACATTATAATGAGTACATGTCTGATTTAAGCTGAATGGCGGCTTGTAAGTTTTTTATGTGAAATGAACATTTCGCTTGATTTTTTTCTGGTTATCTGATCGCTTCTTCTTACTTGTCAGTTAACATCGCATCGCATGAATCTGTATTCTCATTTGCGTGATTATTTCTTAGTTTGATGTATCACAATAAATCTTGTTGCGGCATTGACATCTTGATGTTTTCTTGATTCTGTATGATCAATATTTTGTGCATATTTCTATCTATAGCACTTGGTTACGTTTGAAGTTTCATCTGGTGTGAAGTAATTTTTTTTTGTAAGAGTCACTTGTCGAACTTCAAGTGTTAGTATTTATTTGAAAGACAAACACGAATTCTGGGAAACCGTATTTCAATTTAAATATTGTACTTATAGTCTCTGCGTTTTATGCTGTAATAAATTATTTCACAATGTTTGAAAAATATAGCTTAGTATAAAAGACTCAACTTATATTAAAAACTAAATATTGATTGTTTCTACGTAAAATTATTCTGCTGATGATACTCAGACACGATCATGAAATATATTCATTCAAGAAGAATTACTACTGAGATCAAAAGAGAAGCATTCATCATACGCGAGAGTCAGAATGTCGATAAGAGTGTAACAGCCGTGACAAGAAAACATTTCTTCAAGTTCATTGTATATCATAAACCATTCGTTTTTCATTGTTTTGTTGGTCAATACATTAATTTAGGAATTTAACAGTGATGTCTGAAGATTTCTATTCGTCAAATTTGGAAAAGTGAACTTTAATCTATATGATAGTACTTGTTGATTATCACTAGATCAAGAGTTACACCTACCTCTAAGTGTCTATTTTGTGATTACGTGATGAAGTTTTTTTAGATGATCGGAATTCTCTTGATATGCTTATTAATAAGTGACAAGATTTGGAAGATCAAGCTCGATGTCAGAGCTACACATCAATGAAAGACATGTTTTCTCATAGTAAATGAGAGTGAATTAAAACTTTAATACCCAAGCAGACAAAAAAAATGAAAAACTGCTTGAAAATGCTATAAAAGTTTCGACCATTTTCGGACCTACCTATCTGTATCCGTTTAACAGTCACTTATATCTATCTAACTGCCTACCTACCTATCTAATTCACATATTTAACTAACTATCCACTTAATTCTCTAGACAAGTCTTTTCCCTTCTCTCTTTAAATTTATGTTGTATCACTTTGGTTCCCAATGAATGCTCATTAGAGAATGTCTTAAGTATTTGATTTCAGTATAGTTGAAACTGATTAAAATTCGATTCAACGAAAAATGTACCTCTTTCAACACTAAATGAGCCCTTTCGCAGACTTCTTTATGATTTGACTATATCTATTGTGAATCTGTTAATAATTTAGCTGTTTGGAGCTTATTTAGATCTCTATCGGCAATTTTACATTGTCGATTGGTCGTTGGGTTGGTAGTGAATAGATCTTAGTAGATGAATAAGAAATATATCAATTCGCAGATTCCTAACAGAAATCATAAAGCCACAAAGAAGTTTTCAAAGTCACTCATTTGTGGTAATGACCAATGGCATTGAAAGGCGTACATTTTTCATTGAACCAAATAGTGATGAGTCATATGCTATACTAAAATGAAATGCTTAAAATGTCCTCCTAAGAAATATTCGCTTGATATCTGATGGATGCAATATAGAAAAAAAGCTGTTATCATAATCTTTATTAGTGTTATGTCTGTATGGTATGGATTATGTTGTTTAAGTATTATATTCTTGGCCTCCGATAAAGCCAGATTCATATAATGAACTTAATCGACTATACTTCCACGTTAGTTTTAGATCGTGTTTCACGAAAGAGGAAAGAGAAAAGACTTTTGATCAAAGGCAGAACTAGCTACCTACCTGACTATCCTATCATGGTTCAAAAAAAGATATCTTATTCCATTCTGGATATAAATATTTAACTTTCTCAAGCACCAGTATCATATTTCGATTATTCCTCTCAGACGTTCTTTCTCCTTCCGTCTATACTCGATTATGACGAACAATAGTAAAAAGACAAAAATTTAGTCAAGCATGAGAATCGTTATGTGTATGAAAAAAAACTTCAATATATATGGTAGTAGAGGAGGAAAATAATCGGAAGAGAAATAAAATATAGAGAATGCAGCCAGAAACTTATAGAACATACGGTGATAGAGGAAGATCATATGAATCAGTATTGACTAGGATCGATAGCTGAAGTGTGTGCAATATTGCTTCAGAATTTTTATTACTTATACAAATCAACAATATGACAACAAATAAGACTATAAGACAAAAAAATAATAGTTTGCTTCTTTTCACATCATTTATCTTTAGACGAATACGAAAACGAATAACTGACATAATAGATAATTTATATACATGGAATAGAGAATTGCTCATTTTCCTTTTTATTTTCTACCAAATCTGCTTTCAAAAGTAGCTAAGTTCATCAAGACTAAGTAGACGATTTATATAGTTCTGCTGAACTAAAACTGTCTTATTGTGTCGATATACGGACAAATAACTTTTTTTTATTACTCTTTAATAGACAATTATAGTTATAAACTATGAAGTATTCAGTTCAAATGAATAACTAGCTTATATATTCAACAAAATCAACTTGACTGCACAATTTGAAGCAAGGCTTTATTTCTTTTTTATCGCCATAGATGAGTCTCTTCAAGATTCTTTTTTTAAGCTTATGCATAAGGGCTAGCCAAAGTAAAAATTAAACTTTCAGTTACTTTAAATATTGAGTCAGTTTTTCCATATCGGCAGTTGTCTAGCTTGAATTATTGATTTGCATGTCACAAACATATTCATTTTATCGTCGAAGTCTGAATGACAAAGAGGCAAGCATGAGATACAATTTGATTAATTTACATCTCTTGTTTAAAAACCTAAAGATTTCACTCAAGCCCACAAAGACAATTAGT